CTGGAGATAAAGGTCAGTTCATAGCTATGAAGGATTTTAATCACAAGCAATATATTATACATCTAAATATTTCTATCAGAAACAGAAAAACAACTTATAAAGTAGCTTTTGACATAATTTTTCAGTAACTTATAAAATCAATAATTAAAACAAGCACCAAGCACCAGCACCAGCACCAGCACCAAGACAGAAATTCATGCAAAATGACTCTTGGCTTAACAAAGCAGAATAAATTATTTGTTCCCAACAACTACAAAACACTCATTCCTTGCAAGTTAGCATAAAATTTTTACATGTTATCCATATGCTGGGCCACAAAGCAGATATTAACAAACTTAGTGGCTGATGCCAATGTAGTGTCTATCTTGTCAAAATGAAAGGGTATTAGAAGTTGTGAAGCCAGGCGGTGGTGGCACACGCCTTTAATCCCAGCACTTGAGAGGCAGGGCAGCTGGATCTCAGTGAGTTCAAGGCTAGCCTGGTCCATAGAGTGAATTCCAGAATAGCCAGGACTATTACAGAGAGAAACCCTGTCTCAAAAAAACAAATAAACAAAAAAAGATGTTATGTTGTAGGAAAAATAGACAAAAATCCTTGTGTTTGGAAATTAACCAGTACACTTCCAAACAAATCTTGAAGGCTAGATGGGAATGAGATGATTGAAAAGGATGGAGATTCTACCAATGTTGTTCAAGAGCTGATTAGTAAGTGTAGAAAATCTAGAAGAATCTACAGGTAAAAATTTAGAATTTTAAACTAAAATTACAAATACATCATTAGAATCTATAGGAGTCAGCAACTTTGCTAGACTCAAAATCAAGACACAAATTTACTGTTTCTGTATATCAGCCACAACAGGAAGGTATCAGATATTCTCATATCAAAACAGTATCAACTAAATAGAAGTAACCCCAACAAAAGATGTCTTGGTTCTCCTATGGGAAATTAAGAATGTGTAATAGAGAAACACTTAATATCATGATGTGACTGGATCAGAACAAAACCATATGCATGCCAAATCCCCCTTAACTGTTTTAAAGTACCAATGATACTGAAACTTTCAATGGTGTATGAGTGTGTGTGTGTGTGTGTGTATGAGATTGTGTGAATGTGTGAGATTGTGTGTGTATGTGTGTGATTGTATGTGAGATTGTGTGAATGTGTGGTGTGTGTGTGTGTGTGTGTGTGTTTGTGTGTGTGTGTGTGTGTGTGAATGAGTGAGGTGTATGAAAGGTGTGTGTGTGTATGAGATTGTATGAATGTATGAGAGTGTGTGTGTGTGTGTGTGTGTGTGTGTGTGTGTGTGTGTGTGTGTGTGTGTGTGTGATTGTATGTGAGATTGTGTGAATGTGTGAGTGTGTGTGATTGTGTGTGTGTGTGTGTGTGTGATTGTATGTGTATATGTGAGGGTGTGTGTATGTATATGTATGTGTGTGTAAATGTGTGAGGTATGTGTGTGTGAGATTGTGTGAGTATGAGGTGTGTGGGTGAGTGTATGTGTGAGATTGTGTGAATGTGTGAGAGAGATTGTGTGAACATGTGAGATGTGTGTGGTTGTGTGTGTGTGTGAAATTGTATATGAGATTGTGTGAATGTGTGAGATGTGTGTGAGAGAGATTTGTGAATGTGTGAGATATGTGTGTGTGTAGGGGAATCTTACAAGCTGATTCTGAAATTTGTGTGGAAATGCAAAATGCCCTATTCTGCTGCTATCAGGACTTCCCAGAAATCTCCAGTGACACTTCATTGATGGCACAGAGACGGATCTCTAAGATGGAACCAAGGACAGGAAGAGGACCTCTCATGTTGGTGGGAACATAGGACTTATGGCAGAACTGGGCCAGCAAAGTGGGAACAAAGGATTCTCAATGAATGTTGTTGGAACTGCATATCTAAACGAAAAAATAAAAGAAACCCTCCTCAGTAAAAAGCTCCAAATAAACTGCAATTAACAAAGCTAGTATGCTAGGGTTACTAGTGTTGTTACTACTAATATTACAAAGTTACCCTTGTTTGTGTATATGTGAGGGTGTGTGTATGTATATGTATGTGTGTGTAAATGTGTGAGGTATGTGTGTGTGAGATTGTGTGAGTATGAGGTGTGTGGGTGAGTGTATGTGTGAGATTGTGTGAATGTGTGAGTGTATGTGTGAGAGAGATTGTGTGAATATGTGAGATGTGTGTGGTTGTGTGTGTGTGTGTGAAATTGTATGTGAGATTGTGTGAATGTGTGAGATGTGTGTGAGAGAGATTTGTGAATGTGTGAGATATGTGTGTGTATAGGGGAATCTTACAAGCTGATTCTGAAATTTGTGTGGAAATGCAAAATGCCCTATTCTGCTGCTATCAGGACTTCCCAGAAATCTCCAGTGACACTTCATTGATGGCACAGAGACGGATCTCTAAGATGGAACCAAGGACAGGAAGAGGACCTCTCATGTTGGTGGGAACATAGGACTTATGGCAGAACTGGGCCAGCAAAGTGGGAACAAAGGATTCTCAATGAATGTTGTTGGAACTGCATATCTAAACGAAAAAATAAAAGAAACCCTCCTCAGTAAAAAGCTCCAAATAAACTGCAATTAACAAAGCTAGTATGCTAGGGTTACTAGTGTTGTTACTACTAATATTACAAAGTTACCCTTGTTTTACAAATAGAAGGACTGGCTAGCATGCGCCATGATCAAATTGTAGCAGCACTCACAGCCCTAAGGATGTTTACAACCCAATATCCCAGTGCTCATCTAGACTCAAAAAGACATAGAAAAAAATCCCCACTCCAGAAACTTAGTAAAAGGTTTATTAAGCATGTCATTAAAAATCTTAATCGCTGGGGAAATGACTAATAAAGCTGATTTTGCTGCAATTAAAAATCCTCTGTTGATTGACATTCAGAAGCAGTACGAGGACACTGCAGAGAGTGTGACCTTCACAATATTGTTGCATGGAAAGAAGTAGGGCACCGCTGCATGCCTCCTCTTGTCACCAACACATGGTGGGAATAATTTTATTGCTGTTTGGAGTTCTATATACATAATCACTACCCAAAGGTGGGCATGAAGAGGTCATAATACTGAGGAAAGTGAAATAGCAATTTGATATTGAATACACAGTGATTTTTTCACAAGACATTTTGTCTCAAATATTTAAGTGAGGCATTGAATTAGGAGGTGTTGAAGAGGAAAGTAAAAACATAATCTTCGATGAAAAAAAAGTGTTGATGCTTGTCCCATAACAAAGGAAAGAAGCAAATGACTTAACCTCACAAGGCATGAAGGACAGCAGAAAGGAAGGTAATGGAAGTTTGAGTTTGACAGGAGAATGAAGATGAACTCAGCACAGCAGACTGCTGAGGACAGCACCTCAATGGGAGATCTTGCATCAAGAGAAGAACAAAGACAACACGGTGTACCTGTAGCATCAGAGGGACTCCTCATCCCAGAAGGACAAATTCTCGATTTATATTAATAGCAGAGCTTCCAAATTAGCCCTAAAAATAACTCTTTCTTCTTAGCAATGAAACATGTTCTAATGCTCTTCAGGGAAAAGATGAGAAGACATAGGTTTGGGGAGAAGAACATTTAAAGGCAAGCAAATGAAAAGATCCAAGAGATATCAAGATTAGTAGGAACAAACTCAAATAGTCTCTGAAATTGTAGATGTTATAGAAACATAGTATTCCCACATACTGAACGGGGTCACTTTCATATCTGTGCCTTCTGAGTTTCAGTCAATCCCCTTATTTTCTGCTAGAATTTCTGACTTAAGGAAGGAAAATATATTTAAAGAGTGAATGTGGAAGAACAGGGACCCGAATAGTTGGTTTTCTACCCAAGTTTCACAAACGGAGATGTTAATCGACACAGAATCTGATGTATTATCACAGCCATAATGTTTTACCACCAACAGCCCTCATTTCCCCCCCCCCCAGAAAGACCCTTTGGTTTAGCTGCTGTCTGTATAATCTATTTTTGATTGGTATTAATTTTCTGCTTTTTGGACTGTTAATTTTTTTGCTATTGACCTTTTGGTCATTTCATGGGTCTCAGTATCACCTCAAGAGAGGAGGGCAGAGATTCAATTAGTGTGCTTGTCTCCTGTGCCTCTTGCTAATCTTGCCTCAAAAGAGTCTAGTAAAGAGGTTTTAACACTACGGGCTGAATGATGATATTACAGAGTCCTGCAAATCAAGGCTAGAGAACACAGCTCTCGCAGTAGGATAAATGAGTGCATGCTCATTACTAGGCACTATGACAACCTGAAGGGATTCATAATTTCCATTTACAACAATGTATCTGATGGATAGATTTGTGCCTCAGGCTGCCAGTTAACAATATATGCATCATTAACCTTGGTGATAAAATGTACACATGCTTCAGTGTCAAAATATTACTGCTGAAATGTGGGTATATATAGTTGTGCTTGAATATAGTGTTAGGTATGAGGTAGTTGACAGGAATGTCATCAACTGTGGATCACAACGGAGACTGTTAGCCTGAAGCAGAGAGCTGCCACATGTACAGCTAGTACCCTTTTTTTGAGAACCCAAAAGGACATAACCACTGTGTCTAAGACCTGCCTAGTGCCTAATGTAAACTGACCCTCCAGTGTGTTCAGGGTCCTAAATAAAGGAGCAAAGAGAGTAGCATTCTCTCATTAAGAGTCTAGGTTTTGCAAGGAAATGGTGGTGCACGCCTTTAATCCCAGCACTCAGGAGGCAGAGGCAGGTGGCTCTCTGTGAGTTCAAGGCCAACCTGCTCTACAGAGTGAGTTCCAGGACAGCCAAGGCTACATAGAGATACATTATCTCAAAAAACAGCCCACCCACTCCCCCTGAAAAAGAGTCTAGGTTTTCGTGGCATTGCAAGGGAATAGATTTTGGAACAGACCTCAATAATTTTATAGGGAAATTATTATTGGTTTTCAAGTATGACACTGCCTTATGACTTTTATGTGTTTATTCAAAGCATTTTATGCTGCTTTTGCTTACTATTTTTCAGGGAAAGTTTCACGGAAATCCAATGCATGTAGCTGTGGTAATCTCGAATTGTTTAAGGGAAGAGAGGAGAATATTGGCTGCAGCCAACATGCCTATCCAGGTAATGTTTTCTGACCCATAGTTGTGTGCATTGGTGGCTTGCCAGGTAGTAGTTTCTGAGTTTGTGATCTTGCTTTCTCCTTGAGTTCAGTTTTCTGCAAAATCAGCTTCTTCTGTGTTCCACCAGCCTTCCAGGCACTCATGCCCAAGGTCTTGGGCTCATCTTTGAAAAGTTTCTTGTCTTTTTTCTGTATTGACACAATTACCAAGTCTTTTCAAATCCCCCCCTTTTAAAAATATTTTGACCATGGGATCTCATGTAGTGCAGGATCTCTATATAGCCAAGACTGGCCTTGTACTTGGAATTTTTCTGTTCTCCTTCCAAGTGTGGGGGCCACAGATGTGTGGCACCAGACTGGTCACTCTAGATTCCTTTCTGTTTCCATAGCTAAATTCTGGTCTAAGATTTTACAATATTAAATCTAAGAACACAGTGACCATGTTTCAGTTAGATTCCCAATTCCCAGTTCCAGTTAGGACTCTGCCTCCCCGGCGTGTTTGTCTTCACGGCCTGGACTTGACTGACACTTCAGGACCTACTCCATCAACAGTAATTTTGACTTACAGAAGTTCACTAAGTGCTTGTTTGACTGTTCTTTGCCCTAATGTAGTTAACAGTATATTTTATCTCATTCTTCTGAATGCAGTAAGAACCTTTGCAGTAAGCAAAGAGAAGTAAAGGAATCAACAGTCTCTAAAGCACACTTTTTCAGTTAATCCTGTAAGAAAAAAGTTCATAAGACAATACATTTTCTAAATGTATTCTCCATACTTTAGTCATACAATGTATGAAGAGCTAACAAAAGTATATTTTTAACTGTTTAAACTTCAAGTTACTATCAGGTTATGGATGTTTATGGAGGACTTTCAAGTTTTAACAACTAATTATTCTTGGATGATAAAAATGGTATTGTTTTCATTTGAAAACTAAGCTGTCCATTTTTATACCTGTTACGATAAATCTTTCCGCCAAAAGCTGTCCTAGCCCTACCGCCACGTGGGCAGTCTCTGCCAGCCGCCCGAGTTCTGCCCGCTGTGTGGATGGACAAAATAATACAGAGACATATTAGGTACAATGCTACTTGGCCAATGACTAGGATTCTCATCTGTTAGCTCAGTCTTAATTATCATATATCTATATATTTTATAATATTTATCTTATCGGATGCCTTATTGGTGTCCCTCCTTGCCAGTGGATCACATTGCACTGCTCGAGGAGGAAGAGGAAAAAGGGGACACTTCCTGTTTCCTCGCTTAGTTATGAGTCTCCTTGCTATGTCATTTCCTGCCTGGATCATCACTTATCTACTACATTTCCCAGAATCCTCTTTGACTCCTAGTCCTGTCTAACTTGCTGCCATTGGCCAAACAGAACTTTATTTAACAAACAATAAGACAAACATACACAGTACATTCCCCATCATATATCTGTCACATATATGTCATTCCTATCTCCTCCCCCCTTCCACTCTCACACTGTGTGTGTGTGTGTGTGTGTGTGTGTGTGTGTGTGTGTGTGTGTGTGTGTCTGTCTCATGTGTGCCTTCTGCTTTCTCCAAATATCAAATATTATCAAAACATTGAAGTACATACTAATCAAAGTAACTAAAATTATGTTAATATTGCATACTACCATAAACAATTAACTGAGCATTTTAAAAAGCATTTTATGTAGGTAGACAAATAATGGAATAATGGAGATGGATGTGTTGAAAGGGAAATGTTTACTAATCTGAAGGATGTGGGATGGTTATAAGACACTCCACCCAGAGTTGAAAGCATGGGTTTTCCTTGAGGTTCCACCACTGCTCTGCTGTGTATTTTCAAGTTATCAACCTTTGTAACCCTTTTCTCTGCTCATCTGTATGGTGCAGGAGCCACTCACATGCCTTGTTCCCATCTTCAAATAGCTGTGAACTTTGTGTTTAAGGCCCTACTCGGGGTCAGATTAATAGTGTGGCCAAGATATGGAGCTTGGAGGAGCCACTTGGCCTTTCTGCTTAGCCAAATCATTTTTCCATTTCCTTTAGTGATTTCCCTTTACTTTAAAGTAAAAATAAATCACAACTCAGTAGGTTCAACACCCTCAATTGATAATTTAAGCCCATGTGATCCTATAACACTAATTTAAAATTACATGAAGTTCAAGAGTAATGGAAATAGACTGTAGGAAATTATGAACTTTTTTTAATTGATAATTTAAGCCCATGTGATCCTATAACACTAATTTAAAATTACACGAAGTTCAAGAGTAATGGAAATAGACTGTAGGAAATTATGAACTTTTTTAAAAAAAAAATCATGAAGGTAGGAGTTGGAAAGATGGCTCCATGGTTAAGAGTGCTTGCTGTTCTTTCAGAGGACCCCAGTTCAGTTTCTAGCACCCACATTGGGTACATCATAACTGTCCATAATTCCAGCTGCAGGGCATGAAACTTCCAGACTCTGATATCACCTGCACACATGTGGCACACACACACACACACACACACACAGAATAAAATTGTTTACAAATCGTAAAATTTAGTGTTATTATTACATTTTGGTGTATGTATTGTTTTTGTCATACCTACTTAATTCAAAATATCTATGCTTATATTCATATTCTTAAATATATACCTACATGGATATCTAAATAGAAATTATGTCTTGTGTTTTATGATCTGCTCGGTTGTTTAGATTATAATACTGTCTACATCATGTCATTTAGTATTTTCTACAGTGTCCAGAGACAGAATGACCCAAGACTTTTTCTAAGGTCCAATGAAAGGACAAAGGAAACTAGTTCTGTGTCCATGTCTGGGAGTGGACTTATCAAGGCAGGTTAAGGCTGGAGCTATTGCCTTGGAGGAGCCAAGTTGTAGCTATTGGGAACCCAACTCTTACTCCTGGACTGTGGTTATCTATCCTTAGACAACTGTCTGATGTATCCCATGTTCTCTTTGTCAATATTGCCTGACTTAGGTCCCTGCTGACCTTGGCTTCCCCTTCCCCCAAATAGTATATATGGTGCTGTACTCCTTAATGAAGTTCCTTGGCATAAGTGATCAGTTTGTGAAAGATCTCCTGGTCTCAGCTATTGCTCCTTCTTCTTTGTTTCTTGTCTTCTACTGGTTGGGGACAAGTGGAATGCAATATGAGGAGGCATGTGTATGGGTCAAGTGGCACCCAATATGGGGCACTGCTTGTCCCAAACCAACAGGAATAAAGACACAGAACAAACATTCCCTTTGTCTTTTCAACATGGAATCTGAGAAAATCCTGAGTTGCTCTGACTGTGGACACTACAAGCATAATTATTTTCTGTTCTGGGAGTGGGAACCTGGAGCCTTGTGCATTCTCTGCCAGTGGGTTATATTCCCAGCTCTTTCAACAGGAATTTTAGTGACTATTGAGTATTTTGTATCCCATTGATCTAAATCTCAGGTCAAAGTAGTATATCCTTTGCAATAACCGTAAACATGTTTTATCAACAACAGTGAAATTTCATATTCTTTTTCCAGGGACCTTTGGAGAAATCCTTACAAAGTTCCTCAGTTTCAGAAAGACAGAGGAATGTAGAGCACAAAGTGGCTGCCATTAAAAACAGCGTACAGGTGAGTGGCTTAGATAGATGTCTGAGGTAAGTGGCTTCATGTAGATGTCTGAGGTGAATGGCTTTAGGTAGATGCCTAGAAAGGCTATTGGCAGCCTGTGTGCCACAGGCCAATGCAGACAGTTGTCAGAGGACTGTGTTTCTCACACACTTCTCATGTTTCTCACATGATAAGGCTTTTAAATTCAACTTGCTTCTGATATTGAGCTGTCACACTGTCTATGCCTTCTAGAGTAAGTTTGGTAACTTGTGGTTCTTAAAAAGTATATACATTTCAGCTAATTGAGCTCCATATTCTTTTATTATCCTTAATTTGTAGAACCTATCATGTCACTTATTTCCTTTGATATTAGTACATTTTGGTTTGTCCTCCTCACTGGTCTTATAGATTTGTTAGTTTTATTGAGTTAGAAAAGATTATTTTAAGTGGGACAGACTTTCCACTGTGCTGTATATAAAGATAATACCAGTTTCCCTATCCAGAACCTATGTAGTATTTATTTGTGTGTTGTCTTTTTGTAGAAATAACAATTCTCTAAAAACTAAATCAACTTATATCAAGGTAATGCTCTCCATGCATTAAATTGTGGGCAGAGTTTAAGTGAATGGACTTATGAGCATTTACTTCCAGACCAGCAGTTTAATGATCTTCCATCACAAGCAAACAAGCAGACATGTCTTTGTTCCCACCATGGCAAAATAGAATCAGACTCTCACAGTGGACCTAAGGCCAGTGCCTGAAAATTCTTTGGTGTTAAAACAAGTACTGTACTGATTCCATGAGTATGTAAAAGCAGACGGCTATTGTATTGTATTATAATAAGGATACTTATGGATATTAATCAAATACACAGATGTCTCCAGTATTATTTTCTGGGTAGTGGTATATGCTAGGACTGAATCTAGGACGTGGTGCATGCTAAGCCAGTTCTCTGCCACTGAGCTCCATAGTTCTCAGATTCCTTGTTAACTCCTGAGAAGTTGGTGCATCCAAAGTTCACCATTTATAGCTCTGCCCTGATTTTTCCCTCAGGCCCATAGATCATCCCAGGTCTGTGAATATTGGCTACTAAGTGTTTCTTTGAAATTGCCTGTCCATGGCAGGCTAGGCCATCTTCAGACATGGAGTGGATGGCACAGCCAAAGAGGAAACACCAGGCCCTGCACTCACGCTGGTGTTAACTCTGTGGGTCAGATCATGCTCCTGAGTTCCTTACGGGATCAAAGCTGAAGCCCAGTACAGCCCATGTGCTTGCTCAGCTCCTTCCTACCTTATCCCTATTCAGGAAGTTCTTTCTGAGAACACACCCTCACTAGATCCCTGAACCCAATCTAGGGCACGGGCTCTGATTCCATGATGCCAGACCTGACCCCTAGGCAAAGCAGTAGTTTTCCACCAATGGACTTTGCCACTTAGGCCATAACTTCCACTTCTCTGTAGAGTGTTCTGGAATGCAGCATTCATAAAAGGATTTTGACCATCATGAGAACTTTTGCAAATTATTATCATTTTTTTCAAAAAAGTTACTATAACAGATGACAATATCTGAAGTCTTTTAATTACTTGATTGTTGATTTTTAAAGTCATGGTTTAATGTACTTTTTATTTATTTAGCTTTGTGCTTAAGAGACTCTGAAAGCATCTTTTAATTCTGAGGTCAAACAATATGTTTCTGCTTTAAAACTATATTATTTAATTATATATGTCTCTCAAGCAAGTGAGTGCCCTGTATTTTAGTAGTCCACAGATTTCTTCAGATCTTTGCTCTTGAGAAATGTAACATTCAAGTGAAACGCTGCAAGTGTGCTGATGTGGAGTTTAAAACAAGGAACCCTGAAGCTAAACTAGATCTAGATGGTAGATTTCTTCAGATCTTTGCTCTTGAGAAATGTAACATTCAAGTGAAACGTTGCAAGTGTGCTGATGTGGAGTTAAAAACAAGGAACCCTGAAGCTAAACTAGATCTAGATGGCTCTGAGCTCTCACTCGAGTACTTGTTGCCATGTGTTTATGAGTTTTCTTATATGAAAAATGGAAATAATTTTTGTGGCAGGTTGCCAAAGAGGCCAATGCACGTAAAGTTTAGGCCTGATGAAGCTCTGAGAATACTATGGTGGTGTCATCAGGTGGACAGTACGCTGCATAGTCAATAGCCAATACCTTTCCTAAGCTTTAAAACATCAAGAGCATGAGATGACCAAGGAAAATAGTAGTCATAACTAATGTTGGCGAGGCATGTGCTTGAGACTAGGCAATGTTTTAAGCACTATATACAGCTCGTGACATGACAAGACTCCCTGAAGCAAATGTGGCTCTGACCTTTCCTTCTCCCTCTCCCACTCCTTTTCCTTTCTTCCCCTTCCTCTCTCTTCTCCTCCCTTTCTTATTCTCTCCCTCCCATCTATAAACAGGGGCAGACACATTTTATGAACTGTGGTGCACACCTTTAATCCAGCACTTGGAGGCAGAGGCAGGAGGATCTCGCCTAGAGTGGTCTACATAGCAAGCTCCAGGACAGCCAGGGAAACATGGAGCCTGTCTCAAAAGCAAACAAAACAAGCAAAGAACAAACAAAAGCAGAGGCTAAATCTTGAAGCATAGATGTATGCTCAAGTCATAAACTCAGTAAGCCACAGGGTTGAGACATAAATTTATACTGACCCCAAATTTGGTAGTTTCCCTAATCAGTAATTTAAATGGCAAAATTGAGAAATTGTGGAGAAAGGGAAGGATGTGTGCTTCCTCAGAGAAGACCTCCTGGGATGAGGGAAGCAGTCTAAATGCACAATTGGGCAGTCTGGTTTGGATTTGGGGGCCACAGCTATGCTGCTAGGTCTCCCTAGACAGGCAACTCACTTCACATTGTTAAGCCTGTGTTTTCTTCCTTCCTTCCTTGCTTCCTTGCTTCCTTGCTTGCTTGCTTGCTTCCTTCCTTCCTTCCTTCTTCCTCTCTCTGTCTCTCTCTCTGTCTCCCTCTCTCCCTCTCTCTGTCTCTCTCTGTCTCCCTCTCTGTCTCCCTCTCTCTGTCTCTCTCTGTGTCTCTCTGTCTCTCTCTCTGTCTCTCTCTGTCTCTCTCTCTCTCTCTCTCTCTCTCTCTCTCTCTCTCTCTCTCAGCTGCCCTGGAACTCACTCTGTAGAGTAGGATGGCCTCAAACTCACAAAGGTCAGCCTGCCTCCCAAGTGCTGGCATTAAAGGTGTGGGCCATCACCTAGCTCAAGCCTCTGTTTCTTTTGTCTGCAAAAGCAAGAATGGATACAGTGATACTCCTGATGAGTAGTGAGAGGGCTAGAGAAGATGATACATGAAAAGCCAATACTCAAGATCTCAATTATTATGATTGAACTGGAAACATTAATGGGTTTGGAGGGGAAAAAGGTAAAAAAAAACTCAAAGACAGAAATTTTAAAAATCCAGGCATATTTAAGAAGTAGAAAGAAAGCCGGGCGTTGGTGGCGCACGCCTTTAATCCCAGCACTTGGGAGGCAGAGGCAGGGGGATTTCTGCGAGTTCGAGACCAGCCTGGTCTACAAGAGCTAGTTCCAGGACAGCCTCCAAAGCCACAGAGAAACCCTGTCTCAAAAAACCAAAAAAAGAAAAAAAATAGAAAGAAAAGCTGCCTAGGCATCATTGTCATAAGCTGTGCTTCTCTGGTTATTGTACACTAGTATAGAGAGGACAACCTGAGAGGACAAAAAGGATCAGTTTTCTCCAGCAATGAAGTTATGTGGTTAGTAGCTCTTGTAACTAATTGAGAAATGAAAAAAAAAGATGCTGGACGATTCCTAAGCAGGAAGGAAGAAGAAGAAAAGAGAGAGAGAGAGAGAGAGAGAGAGAGAGAGATGGCTCAGTGGCTAAGAGCTTGATAGCCCAGTGGCTAAGAGCTTGCTACTCTTGCAGAGGACCTGTGTTTGGTTTCCACATGGCAACTCAACTCTGTCACTCCAATTCCAGGGATCTGATGACCTCCTCAGACACTGCATGCATGTGTGGTCATAAACATAAAATATAAATATTTTAAAGGTGGAAGAGAATGTTTAACTTGGCCTTCATCAGAATGCAGCTGTCTTGTGGAGTAGCTCGCTGGATGTGTAGGCTTCCAACACTCACTGTTGGAGGCTGGGACTTCCAGTGTGTTGTTTAGAAGTACATATGATGTTTCTATGGGGGTGCTTAAACATTGCAACGTAGTTTGGTATTTTCTTTTGAGCATGTTTTCTTTTGTATAAAGATGACAGAACAAGACACCAAATACTTAGAAGATCTGCAAGATGAATTTGACTACAGGTATAAAACAATTCAGACAATGGGTAAGTTATTGTTTTGTCTATGATTCTACAGGGGGACATAAAAGCAGCATAATTATTGGGCTTCTTCACCGGTTGGAGTTGAGCTGCAAGATAATTTGATCATCACCCTTATGTGAGCTCCCTACCAATTTCATTTTTTGAGGAATGTAGACAAAGAATATTTCCAGTTCTGCTTGTTCCTTCTCTCCATTTAGGTTATATACATAATGTATTTACTAACCGATTCAAAGCAAATTACAAGTTACATGAGAAATTATACCCACTGCAGTATGTGTCTGCCCTGGAAGAGTATTCTGGGGAGTCAAGAGCTTCAGGCTGGGTGTGGTGCACACGCCTAGAATTCAAACGATTGGGAGGCTAAAGCAGGAGAGTGGAGAGTTGGAAGCCAGCCTGAGACACATAGCAAGAAACTTCCTCAAAAGAAAAATAAAACCAACTAATAAAAATAAAATAATCATCTAATACAGTCAGGGAGTTGCTGATATTAGATGAGTTCTTATAATATTCAAAAATTATAAAGTAGAATGTCATAGAAGAAAATTTACAAATTAGGCAAAAAATAAAAATCACCCGAAATCTTCGCAATCTACAGATAAACATGGTTAAAATACCTTACACTTTCTCTACATAGTCACAAACATATATGTATTTATTTTAACTTCCAAAGAATTAGAAATTATATATGCAATTTTAAAGTTTCATTTTTAAAACATAATAAATGTCAAAATAGAAAGATGCTGAATTTATTTGACTCTGTGTACTTAAACATTAAGTTTGTTTATAGTTAGATGATTTTTAATAAATAGGTGGAGAAAATAAAAATATAAGACCTGAGATATACAAGCAATAGTAGATTGATAGTCTATCTATGCTGCAATTATTGGGATAATTGTTGACATTCTAGTTGGTTCTGTCTAAATTAGTTGATAGAACTCTGTTTTGATCATCATGCTGTGCTTGTGTCAGACAACCCAGGACATTAGATAGACATTTACTTTTCTAGTCCTGAAAAGAGCAGCTTTTAGAAGAAAGCATTTAATTGGGGCTCACTTATAGTGGGGAACATGGTGTCATGCAGGCAGGCAGGTGCTGGAGCAGTAGCTGAGAGCTATGTCCTGATCCATAGGCAGAGAAAGAGAGAGATAATCTGGGCCTGGCATTAGCTTTTGAAACCTCAAAGCCCAGCCCCAGTGACACACCTTCTCCAACAGGGCCACACCTGCTCCATTCCTTACCATACAGTTCCACTAACTAGGGATTAAGCATTCAAACATATAAGCTATGGGGCTATTATCTTTCAAACCATCACAAGGAAAGATGGGAACCCTGTCATATTTTACATTATTTCAAAATATTTTTAAAAGAAAGCAAATATAAACATCTACTTTACAGAATCCCCTTTAATTAATCAAGTGTTACATATACCGGAAAGGCAGTATGGATGACTGTTATCAAATACTTAATTTTTCTGAAGAAGATGTTTTATATTCTCCTGTCACCTTCAGGATGTCATAACTGCCATAAAATATTCAAAATGTTCGTGATTATTTACATGTTGCAATGTTCTCTTTAGAAGAAATAGCACAACTTAAGTTTAGCCACTTATCAAAGGGATCTGTGATCCTAGAAAAGTCTGGAAGCACTATATTTCATCAAGTACCATTGAAGACAGGCTTACTACAATTTCCACATAAACTATGAAGTTTAAGAATTGCAGTATAACAAGATTTATTAAACAATCAAACTATTTTGAATGTAGCATTTATTTTCTATGTTACCTCAATATTTGTCAGTTTTCATGTGCATTGTAAAGAACTAAAAAGTGAATCCAGGCATAATGATTTATACCTATAACCCATCACTTAGGAGGTGGAGGCAATAACAGTTCAAGATCACCCTCAGCTGCACCGGAATAAGGCCAGCCTGGGTTGTGTGATGGCACAGAAAGACACCAAAAATGTTTTAAAACAATCATTTTTTAAAAGATTTATTTATTTATTATGTATACAGTGTTCTGCCTACATGTAGGCCTTCAGGTCAGAGAGGGCATGGATCTCATTACAGATGGTTGTGAGCCACCATGTGGTTGCTGGGAATTGAACTCAGGACCTCTGGAACAGCAGGCAGTGCGCCTATCCTCTGAGCCATCTCTCCAGACCCTAAAACAATCATTTTTAATGAATTAAATCAACCATGTTTTCCCACATGGATACAAGTGAAATGAAAGATAACAGGAGAAACAAATTGTAGAGAAAACTGGAAAGTATTGGTTAGTGAACTTTCAGCTGCTAAAGCAATATACCCACAACTTCCAAGAAGGGGAGAATTTGTGAACTGTTACAACCAGAAATAACATCCTGAAGATTAGTGACAATTTGTAGAGAAACATGGTTTTTGGGTTGTTTTTGTTGTTGTTGTTGTTCTTTTGCAATTTTACAAGTTAGATAAGCATCTCCACCCTCAGCACTTGCTGTGTACCAATGGGTTTAATGTTCAAACTAAGCAATATGATAGATATTGCATATCTCCCCATCCAATGGGCTAATTTTTCGTTTTGTTTTATTTTCTATTGTTTTCCTTGACCAGTTTTGCTGTGAGGCTAGTCCATTTTTTAAGGAAAAATGAAAAAACAGAAATTTTAGTTTTACTAGTTCCTATAAGTTCATTAAGACTAAATAACTTTACCAGGCAGAGAACGAATGGATTGGGGAGGTAGTGGCCGCAGAATGAGTCATGTGATTTAATCTTGATCACAAGGAATCCCCTTTCCTTATATCTAACAAGCATTTTTTTTCCTTAGTGCAGGCAGAACCAGTAAAACAAGCCCATTAAAAACTCTTCCTTCATAACCGGGCTGTGGTGGCCCATGCCTTTAGTCCCAGCACAGGGGAAGTAGAGGCAGGTGGATCTCTGTGAGTTTGAGACCAGCCTGGTCTACAAGAGCTAGTTCCAGGATAGGCTCCAAAGCCACAGAAAAACCCTGTCTCAAAAAACTAAACCAAAACAAAACAAAACAGAAAACCAAAAAAACCCACCCTTTAGTCAGTATTCCTATGGAGGAATACTTTCCCAACCTAGATACGCAGAGGGTAGGGGAGAGCCTAGGTTCTGCCCCAGATGATGTGACCGACTTTGATGATCCCTCATGGAAGGCCTCACCCCCTGAGGAGTGGATGGAGAGTGGGATGGGGGTGGGTGGGAGGAAAGGGAGGACAGGAGGGAGAGGGAACTGGGATTGGTGTGTAAAATAAGATTGTTTTAAATTTAAATATATTTTTTAAAAAACCTTGCTTTGTCCACCACCAAAATGAGTACCAGGTGAAGGGCATCCTCCTTCTGTCATATAGAGAGATAAGGAGTCCCTATGCACTCTTGGCTGGAATTCTTTCCTGGCAGGATGAGAACATTCCCAGACTGGACTTTTATGCTTATGCTGGGAGCCCATTTTGTCTCTGACAGCCTAGGCCCCTGGTCCTGTCCAGGGCTGGTTTGGGGCTGGATCTCAATGGGGACTTTGGGGAATAAAAGGCTTTCCCCAGTGGTGATGATTCTGGATCTGCTCTCCTCCCCTTTGCAGATCAGGGTGACAAGAATAGTATCTTGATGAACCAAGAAGTTTTGACACTGCAAGAAATGCTTAACAGCCTGGACTTCAAGAGAAAGGTTGGTGAAGAATTTTAATCTGCCATTTGCCAGGCTTCTTTTCCTAAACCTCATCTTACCAAACACAACCAAGGCCTCAGATTTTATCAGTTCCATTTACACTGAAGGAAAAGATGCCAGTGTTTCCAGGAACTGTCCTCCATGACTGAGTAAACTTGCACAGTCACACTGCCCCCCCCCCAAGCCTGTGAAATGCTGCTGGAGGTGTCGTTCGTTAACTTAAGGTGGGAGCTGAACCAAGTTTTATTTTTCACTATTTAGCAGGCTGAAGTGGGTTACACTGCATATTTATAGTTAAAAATTACTTGGTGACGAAAAACTTTATTGGAAAAATTAGTGTTTTATATTGCATTCTGAGGATGACATTGTTAAATACTGTCCTATTCATGAAATCTCCCAAACTTCAGAGCAGTTTGTTGGCAATGAACATAAGTATTTTTTTTAGCTCAATGAAATATTTTCAAGAGACTAATTACTCCTATTACAATTTTCTAACCTATCTTTAAAAGTAAATGCAATTGGGATTTAACCAATAACTGTTGAATCAGTAGTTCATTTCTAAACAATCACTTTTTGGTGAATAAACTGATATGGATCCAAATAAGTTTACTTTCACCTTAAATTGATTATAAATATAACTAGGAATACATAATATTGCAAGCATGTGAGAAATTAGTCCAAGCTAAAATGTCAGGCTTTTATGGCTAATCTGTTTATGTCTGACATGTGCCACCTTGTTTTGCTTGAAAAATAAAATTCAAGAGAGAAGGAACTCTGAAACAGTTTATCCCATCCACCCAATTACATATATGAGAAAACTAAATTTTAGCAAGTTTAAACGCTATGTCCAAACTCACAATGCTATTGAAAATTCCATCTCCTAGTCCCTATGCCTATGAAAGTTACTTCACTATGCCTCCCTGAGCTCAAATAAAGTCTGAAGAAAAAAAAATAACACAGAAAGACCCAAGTTTTAATCAGTGTATTTACAAATAGATGGATAATCACATTCATAAAAAAAGTAAAAACAGATGCTGGAGTAATGGGTTAAGAACCATTATTCCAGACAATGAAGGTTCCCTTCCCAGAACCTACATGGTGGCTCACTGCTAAGTGATCCACTCCTATGGAATCCAACACCTCTTCTGGCTTCTGCAGGGACTGCACACACATCATCTGGACATGCATACAGGCACAATTCCGGTACACATGTGAACAAGTAAAATCTGCAGGGACTGCACACACATCATCTGGACATGCATACAGGCACAATTCTGGTACACATGCAAACAAGTGTTCAAAAGCATGTTTAGGACAGCCAGAAGTTCCCATTGGACACGAGAATGTCAACTGTGGCCACAGTTCTTGTGACGTTATCCAACTGTAATGACTTTATTGTTTGGAAAGGCAATGCTATACCAAATAGAAACTAGTCTTGATCAAACATCTGGTTGACTTTAGTCAAACCTTCATCTCTCAGAGCAGTGTGCTTTGTAAGCAGAGTTGGCACCTGGGTGTTCTGTAGGTCTCTTCACCTGCCGTCTGTCTTTAGGAAGTGCTCAGTAAGATGACACAAATAGTGAATGAGTCGGACCTGCTAATGAACACCATGCTGACAGAAGAGCTGCAGGACTGGAAGAGGCGGCAGCAGATCGCCTGCATCGGTGGCCCACTCCACAATGGGCTGGACCAGCTTCAAAACTGGTAAAGCGATCGACTTTAGTTTCTAGTGAAAACCACAGGAAGTGCAGGCTTCAGTGTGCTCAGGGAGCGCAGGTTTCACCAAGCTTGGGGACTGCTGAGCACAGAGGCAGCCAGTGTTCTTAGCTTCCCTCATTTGGGAAGGAAAAGGAAGCATGTCCCATGCCTAAGAATTCCTCAATAAGCATACATGTCTTAAAAGACTCTGATGATTTTTTTCTTTATTTAAAAAAGTATTTTTAATTTTACATACCAACCCCAGTTTCCCCTCCTCCCACCCCCATCCCCTTCCCTCTCACCCCCCCATCCACTCCTCAGAGGGGGTAAGGTCTTCCTTGGGGAGTCAACAAAGTCTGGTATACCAAATTGAGGCAGGACCAAGCCTCTCCACCTGTATCAAGGCTGAACAAAGTATCCCACCATTGGGAATGGGCTCCAAAGAGACAATTCATGCACCCAGGATAGGTCCTGATCCCACTGCTGGGGCCCCTCTAACAGATCGTCACATAATTGTCATCCATATTCAGAGGGCCTAGTTCAGCTCCATGCAGGTTCCCCAGGTTCCAGTCCATAGTCTGTGAGCTCCCACTAGCTTGGATTCAGTGTCTTTGTGGTTTCCCCATCATGATCTTGACTGCCCACCCCCCTTGCTCATATGATCCCTCCTCCCTCTCTTCAACTGAACTCCAGGAGCTCAGCCCAGTGCTTGGCTGTGACTCACTGCATCTGCTTCCATCAGTTACTGCATGTAGATTCTATGATGACAATTAGGGTAGCCACTAATCTGATTAAAGTGGAAGGTCCCTTCAGACACTTCCATTATTGCTAGGATTCTTAGCTGGAGTCATCCTTGTGGATTTTGGGGAATTTCTCTAGCTCCAGGTTTCTCTCTAACCCCCAAATGGCTCCCTCTATCAAGAGGGATTTCTTTCTTTGCTTTCCCTCTCCCTCTCCACCCCTCCCTCAAACTGCCTTCTGGATCCTCACCTTTTATGCCCCCCTCACAGTTTACCCAGGAGATCTTGATGACACCTTATGCTGGAGAGGATGTGAAGTAAGGGGAGCTCTCCTCCATTACTGGTGGGAGTGCAAACTGGTCCAGCCACTTTGGGAATCAGTATGGTGGTTTCTCAGAAAATTGGCATTCATTCTACCTCAAAACCCAAAGATACCACTCTTGGGCATATACCCAAAGAATGCACATTCATACCACGAGGATATTTGCTCAACTATGTTCATAGCAGCATTATTTGTAATAGCCAGAACCTAGAAACAACTTAGATGCCCCTCAACCAAAGAATGGATAAAGAAAATGTGTTACATTTACTCATCAGTAAAAAAACAATGATATTTTGAAAATTGCAGGCAAATGGATGGAACTAGAAAAAATCCTGAGGGAGGTAATGCAGACCCAGAAAGACAAACACAATATGTATTCACTCATAAGTGGATATTAGATATAAAGCAAAAGATAATTAGACTTATAATCCATAACCCCAGAGAAACTAGGTAAAAAGGGGGACCCTAAAAGGGACACAAATGATTTTTTTGAAGCCAACAATGAATTGCCTTAAGGATATAATAAACATTAGCTTCAAAAATCTCAAAAACAAGTTTTTAAAATGTGTGTCTTATGAGTTAAGCATTTAGTTTTATGCTTTCAGACACATTCACTTTTTTAAGTATGTTGGTCAAGGATGCAAAAATTTTAGTTGGAAAAAATACATCATGATGACTGTAGTTACCAATAGCTTATACACTTGAAAATTACTAAGTAAATTTTCTGTTCTTATAAAAAGAAGGTTGTGTGGGACAATACATATGTTTTAGTTTTGATTTGGCCATCCTTCAATATACAAATATGTCAAAATAACATGTGTAAAACTAGAAATATACACAACATTTGCTGGCCAGTTAAAAAGAAAGTTAAGCTAGGTATGATGACACAGACTACCATCTCAGGGAAGTCACACATGTTCCAAACCACCCTTGTTTACATAGCAAGACCCTATACAAAATTATAACACAATAACAAGTGACATAATCTCCAGCAGTCAACACAAGACATTGCTACTTAAAATACAGACATGACATTAAATATAGATACTATCTTTTTGCCTTACAAGATAATAATGTTGATAAAGGTTTCTGATTCAAATACAAAATAAGACTGTCCAAGAGAACAGTCAAAAAACATACGGAGAAACAAAATCAGTTAAAACTCAAAATTCCTTTCTAAGGGATAATTGCAGAAAATGGAAGTGTGTCATGCCCCTGCTTGTTTTAGGCTTACTCCTCAAGAGAAGTAAAGCCGTGCGCTCTTTTTTAAAACATACTCATTTTCCTCAATTCTGTAAACCCCAAGAACTGCTGTGAAAAAAAGACAAGCAACAAAGGGAATAATGAAGACCGTTTAGTAATGGTGCCTACAGTGAAACCTAGCAGGGGCCACCACTCCTGCTCCTCCCCTGATCCCATCTGTCTAATGCTTGAGAGAAGAGTGGCTGGAAGGACAGCTGAAGTACTCTGCTCCTCCAGTGGAACCCCCTTCCTCTTCCTGTTTCAGTCTTTCTTGTTCCTCTCCAGCTGACCTGACCTCACCTCCATCTCTAGGGCAAGATCAGCACATAATGAACAAGTCCACTTAGGTATTAGGAGCAAGCATTCCCAAACACTGTGGAACTTCTGTCAGAATGACTCAGCCATCACTTTACACTAACACCCAGAAACTGTAAATGTGTAGAGTGGAGAGGAAGGTGGGTTTTACATGTAACATGCTCCATGGCTTGTACCCTGTATTCTAAATTGGCCTGTCTCTGACTTAGTGAAAGCCATGTTCTTAATATGAACACTTAACAGAATCTAGAGGCCAATTAAAAGGGATTTGGCTCCAGATGCTGACAGCATTTCATAAAGGGTGTCTGTAAATTAAAAGCACAAATTAGAAAAGATTTAACATGATACATATTCAGGAAGAGAAGGTTTAGAAAAAAAACAATAAAGAATTGTCATAAATCATAATTGGAATTAAGTGATCTGTTTAATTAATTTAATCATTTAATTGTTTACTATTTATGAAATATGATCAGTTGCCAAACTAGCTCAGTCACTAGGTAGGGGGAAAAAAACCTGTCATTTATTGTTCCATAGCTTTACCCTGTTGGCAGAAAGTCTTTTCCAACTTAGACGACAGCTGGAAAAATTAGAGGAGCAGTCTACCAAGATGACTTATGAAGGAGACCCGATCCCCACCCAGAGAGCACACCTGTTGGAGAGAGCCACCTTCCTGATTTACAACCTTTTCAAGAAGTAAGTGTGTGGCTTTGACTGTCACCCTGGCTCCACATGGGGCAGAGTTTTAGGGACCCCAGGACGCAGTGGTGGAGCCCCAGAGATCTCCAGGACCACATTTCCACTCTTTACTCCTTAACCAGCAACATGTTGCCCAGAAGCTAGTCAACCCCGTCACCCACCTCATACTCAACTTTCACATTTTAGAGAAGACTAAAGATTTCTTTTGAGAGCAGATCCAAGAAATGAGGGTGGGGAGCCCTGGGTGTAAGGTCACTTGAGAAAAAAATTCTAATTTGGGGGCCATAAATCCCAACATTCAGTCCAAAATGTCATAAAATTAAGTATCTTTTGTTATATATAGGATAAGCATGAATCTTTATTGAGCCCATAACTGGTAATTAAGAATTACTATTGTTAATTAGGGATGACCTTCAGTTATTTTACACGAATGACTTGAGAAGCTATTGGGAAGACTGGAGTAGAATGGGGGTTTCAGCATCTTCCAGGTGTAAAAAGTTTGGACTTTGTGGGAAAATAGCATCCAGTTTCTCTGTGGTTAATATTTTTAACCTTTTCAATTGGTATTTCCCTTTCATCTAGCTCATTTGTGGTTGAGCGACAGCCATGCATGCCAACACACCCTCAGAGGCCGATGGTACTTAAAACCCTCATTCAGTTCACTGCAAAACTGAGGTAGGCAGAGCCCATTCTGTTGTTTTATGTCTACAGCACTGCAGCCACTGTTAATCAAGGCCCTTTACATTCAGCCATTCTTCATAGAGCACCGCTGAGGACCCAGGCTGAACTTTGGCAAATCCCTGCAGAAAAGTTATGATGAGAGCTTGCTTGTCAAGAACATGGCAATGTGGGATATTAATGAAGACATGAGGGCTATTTGTATGAGAGTACACAATCATAATATCAGGCACTCTGGGATTAATAGCTGAAAAGGTTAACATGAGAAAAGACTGGAAAGACAGAAGGGAAGAATTGTGGGAGAGTGAGTATACACAAAGAGTGGCTGAGTCTGCTCTGTAACAGAGTGGAACAGAGAGAATAGAAAAGACGGTGGAAGACGGAACATCCAGGAAATGAGTGGCACATGCTTCCCCTGTGATTACCCAGTTAAATGGCTTGCTCGGTTGCCCACAAAAATCCAAGCACTATAGTCTTCAGTATATCCTTGTTGAGCTCCTGATTTAGAGACACGTGGGCTTGCATGATTTTCACTGAGCTTTCATTGTGTATTTGATACGTTTTTATGAACATGAACAATGAAAAATTAGGTTTTCCCTAGTAGACTTAAGACAATGTGTTTCAGTCTTGCTTTCAAAGATTTTTATTGTGCCTTAAACTCCAGGCCCAGAGCTGCACATTCCTAATCACTAGGAATGCTGAGCAAATTAAGAAATCTTTATTGATTCCATGGTGGAGAGCAACTGAGGGTTCTATGACAGAACTCTTAGTCACCTGGCAGCACTGGAACCCAGCTTTTTAAGCAAAGGCATTTTTAGTTTGCATTTCAAAACCCCTGATTAAACATCTCGGGTGGTGATGGCGCTCACCTTTAATCCCAGCACTTAGGAGGCAGAGGCAGGTGGATCTCTGTGAGTTTGAGGCCAGTCTGGTCTACAAAGCTACACAGAGAAACTGTGTCAGAGGCAGAGGCAGGTGGATCTCTGTGAGTTTGAGGCCAGTATGGTCTACAAAGCTACACAGAGAAACTGTGTCCTGAACAAAAATCAAACAAACAAACAAACAAAAACCAAAAACCAAAAACTAAAAAAAAAAGTCTCACTTGCTTTCTTTGTATGAATTTTGCACCAAGATGCAAGAATGGAAAACAGAAGTGATTAGCCAGGTTCCTTTTCAAAATTTCATTCTTAAAAGTTGTTCATTCCCTATCTCCATACCTCTATGGAAATCAAGAGACAGTAACAAGGGAGATAGGATAGAGATCTGGTAGATATCCTACTTTCTCTTGAGACACCCATGTAGATGACAAGGAAGTTGAAATGCTGTATGACAAAATGAGAAGATATTAAGGACTATCTAGGAAACATGCAGAGTGGAAGAGGTCCCTGAGCAGGTAGCAGGAAGCACTTGTTTGAAATGATGCCTGAGCATAGACCACTGTCCTGGAGTGGGTGTCCTGTCCCCTCTTCAGCTTGACTGCTGGGTCCTCTTCTTCCTTCCCTGATCTTTGTACACACTGTCATGTGAGTTTTCCCTCTAAAGCTGCTCTTTGCCATAGCATTGTGCTCTCCTGTTTCAAAGAGAGGGTGACATGGGAGACTCTCAGGCAGTGATTCTCACCCTTCCTAACACTGTGACCATTTAATATAGTTCCTCACGTTGTGGTGACCCCCAACCATAAAATTATTTTCATTGCTACTTCATTGCTTCTTCATAACTGTAATTTTGTTACTGTCATGAATCATAATGTAGATATTATCTGACATGTGACCCAAAAGGGGTCATGACCAACAGTTTGAGAACCACTCACTGCTCTGGGAGCTGTCATCAGTGCCTTGCAGTGGACCAGATCCTTTCTGGAGCAGAATAAGGAGTACAATGGAGAAGAAAAATATATGTCCATGTCCACGAGCCCGCACACCCTCGTCACCATCTACTACTGACTTCACACGAACACACTCCACTCTGGAGCCAACCTGTGGTTCAGTCAACACATCAAAGAAGCCTTTGCTTCACAGCGTGCACATCTTTGCTTAAGCTGTGGATGAGCTATGGCTTTGTATCCTTATTTCTAATGCATTGCCTCCATATTCTATAAACCACATCTGCTTGGCTGGATTCTTTTCTTTACACATGGCTATGCCCACCTTTCTCTATTAGTCAATCTTGGCTCAAGAGTTTTCAGATATCTGAGTCTATACTCAACATACATAATGAGATCAGCATATATTGAATGAATGCATAAGGCCTGAATGAATGCATGCATGCATGGATGAATTAATGAATGAGTGATGAATGAATGAATAAGTAAGTAAATGAGTGAGTGTGTCTGAAGATGCAAGGAACCCACAGACATAAGCATATCTGTATACCTTGGGACTTGGGGGTGGGGAAGCAAAAGAATAGAAGAGCTGATGTCAAAAGAAGGAATTCTCATCTGAGCATGAATTGTTCCTTTGTTGGAAGTTAGGTATTTTTTAGTTATAAGAATGTTTGCTGATATGAAAATACATTACTATTCTTGAAATTACAAATATAATTTAATTGGGATTTTCTATATTCATTTTAGAAGTTTGATCTTTCTCAATATTTTCACCATCAGAATTATCTAGTTTTGCTAAGTTTATGAAACATTTGTTTCTGCAGTATGGGAGAAGTTGGAGTCCTGTTAATAGACTTGCCAAGAACTTTTCTTAAATATATATGTCACCCGGATTCCAACCCATGCAGTTGTTTTTCTGAATGGGTCAATCTATCTAGCACCTACCAACTGAAAAAAATGTGCAGACAGCAAGTGTTTGTCAGTAGTGACATGGACCAGTGCCAGGAGAGTCACAGAGCAAGCTCAAGAGGTTTCTATATTTTAACATGGGTCAGTAGTGACATGGACCAGTGCCAGGAGAGTCACAGAGCAAGCTCAAGTGGTTTCTATATTTTAAAGCACATTAACATGGAAGTGGAGATAATGCTTTATTCACGTGTATATGCTAGAAAGATATCTAATAATTTAAATGTAGAAAAGGCTTTTACCACTTCTAAATTTTTATCTTTGATTCTTTATTCTTATTTCTTCCCAGGCTACTAATAAAATTACCAGAACTCAACTATCAGGTGAAAGTTAAAGCATCAATAGACAAGTAAGTTTTCTAATTTCATTTCAAATATCGAAATGAATGATTTTTTAAATTCTTATGTAGTAATTTTGAGCTTTTGTATCTATTTCTTTAACTTTACATATCACTGTACTTCAAATACTTGATTTCAAGTTCAAACATTTATCTATGAAGACTTAGATGATGCTCCATATGGTGCAACTTAAAGTAGTTACAAATATCTTCCTGGGTCTAATAACCAGCTTACTTTAAAGGCTTTTCTTGATTTTACAGGAATGTTTCAACGCTAAGGTAAGATATTTACTTTGCAGATTTTTTTTCTTGCTATTAAGTATACATTGATCCAAACCTTTTTTAAAAGTGAAGTTTTTTCTCTCTAGCAATAGAAGATTTGTGCTTTGTGGAACTCAAGTCAAAGCCATGTCCATTGAGGAATCCTCCAATGGGAGCCTCTCCGTAGAATTTAGACATTTGGTAGGTAGAAAATAAGATGACAACAGCATCTTCCCAGCCACCCACTCACCCATGCACTACTCAAGCTTTGCTAACAGGTTGTATAATTCAGGGTATTTTGTTGTGTTCCTTACATGAATACCATAGTTTCTTAATTTACTTTCTGTAAAAAGAAAGAAGTTTCTTACGTAATTTCTTACTTCTCACCATGGTAACATTAAGTACCATAGTGAGAAACAAAGCTGCCATCATTGAAAAATTAAAGCAGTAGAAAAGACATTGAACAGGAAACCTGACAGTTAAGTTCTGAACAACTGCAATGCACCACTGCCAAACATCCACTGTGACTGGCCCATGCTGATCACAACAACTGCAGAGACCTATATTAAGTGTAGAGCTGTTCTGCTTTCATTTTTAAAGTCTTCCAGGAAGTGATATCCAATAACGTGTGGCAGAAAGCACTTTCATTTCAGAACAACCTCGGGCTGTTCTTGGGGTTTCCCAACACACCCTTGTACAGTCTGCCTTGGCATTGTCTAGAAAGCTCTGACCACGCCCCATCCTGTTTACCACTTCCTCTTGACCTAGAGTTCTCAGTTCTCTTCCTGTCTTCTCTCTCTTCTTCTCTTCCCCCCCTCTCTCTCTCTTCTTAGATTTCCAAAGACCCTGTTGCCTTTCTTGCCACAAACATACTATTTCTCTGGTTTATTAACACTTAGCCAGCATCCACATGAGTGTTGGTTAGCAGAAAGACATCTACAAAAGCAAATATGTGATGATTTGGGTTTAGTTTGGTTTTCAGTATTAACTTCTGATGGCTCTAGGCAGCTAAATGAGGCTTCAGTGTGTGAAATGATACGAGTTATTGTTAAAGAAGCCAAAACTATGACTGTGAACGTGATGACAGTAGTAGGTGTAACCAACTTGATATGTTCCTGATTAATGATCCTCCATCTCAACTGTTTTCTTTCACATAGCAACCCAAGGAAATGAAATCCAGCGCTGGAAGTAAAGGAAATGAGGTGGGTTACAGTAACTCTTGGGAAATGTTTCTAGGAAACATCCTGCAACACTATTTCCCCAAAGCTCTTACACTGCTTAATTTTTGTATCAAATCAAATCTGTTTCCCTGACTGTATACATAAAGCTTGATCATTGCAGATAATATGGGAATTTTTGAAGGATGAAATTAAAATAACACATCAATAACAATAAAAAAAAAAACACCCTGCAGAGAAAACATTAACCTTCTGGGTTTTTCAGGCTAATCTTGTATGCCTCAAAAATATGTCAGCCAGGCAGTGGTGGTGCATGCCTTTAATCCCAGGACTCGGGAGGTAGAGGCAGGTAGATCTCTGTGAGTTTAAGGTCAGCCTGGTCTACAGAATAAGTTCCAGGACAGCCAGGGCTACATAGAGAAACCGTGTCTCAAAAACAAAACAAAACAAAAAATATGTCATATATATTGTTTCATAATTTTTTGATTGGCATGGCTACATATGGCTAAGAGCTTTTCATCTTTCCCAATCCTTTTAGAGAACATGATTTAAATTGTTTCATTATATTATATAATATATAGGTATCATGGTTTCTTTAATTAGCTCTCCATCATGGTAAGCTATCTTAAAATAATTTATTTTCCCACAGATGTGAAATAAGTTTCAAAATCATGGCACATTACATGAAAATCATAGCTGAAAAACAATTCTTTTATTGTGTAGTATCTATTACTTTGGTCTTAAAAATACTTCATATTTGAACTGGACAAATATGCCAGTCTGAACACCCACATTCCAGTCAATAGATTGGTCAAGTCCTGACTGAGAAGGCCATCTTCTGAGTTGGCCTGGAAATTTGGCATTATGTTTTTTATCTTCATGTTTGAATATGGGAAATGTAAGTTTGAGTCCACATTCCTAACTGACTGAAAATGTTACCTTTGGAATCATACGATAGAGAAATATTGTACTCTTATGTTCTAAGAGAGGAGATGACACCTGACACACCTGCCTGGAGATGCTGCTAAGGTGAACCTGACTCTTTGAAGCAATTGCCCAGCAATTAGGGGCATTACAGTCCTGTTTGTACAGATCCAGTCACCGGGCTTTTAAATCACGGCTCTTAGGACAAAGATGTTGGAATCCTTGGGAAGAACTGTATAAATCCAGTGGTAGTCTATCACACACCCCAAGCCACATGACCCACCACCAGGTTTAACATCCAGTCATGTTCTCCTCTAGGAACTCTTCATCCTCTCAGTGGTACCTTAGACATTGCCACACGCTGTGGCCTATCAAGAGTAGACACTGCTTCAAGCAGAGCCTCAAGCAAGTCTCTCTTCCCAGTGACATGAATGGAGCTTTTGAGTTTGAGGGTTCTAGCAAAACAAACATGTGGGAGGAATTCTTTCCCAAGAGATTTTTCCTAGGTTTCCTGAACTACTGTTATAAACAAAAGGCCATTACGCAAGCACACCTCGGTGGAATTTTGAACACAGTCGTAATATTTCATTCAGCTTGACATCCCTGAATGTTATTATTTACAAGTCTGAACAAACCAAGCACAATTATTCTGAACTTTTCTTAAGCAAAACAGATCCAATGGGAATACATCTAAATAGCTCAACTCTTGCACTACATTGTCATCTTTATCACACGTGAAATCAAAATCTGTACCAGGATTTCCTTGGAGACAAAACTCTAAGTAAATCGTCTTCCTCTATAGAAAATCCAAGCACTGTCTTATTAAGAATATCTACTTATATTGCTTTGAATTTATGTCCTCTTATTTTCCAGTTGATAACAAAATCATACAGCCGTACGATGACTTTGTTTCTTTTTTATTTTTTCAACTTTGCAAAACAGGGCCACTGTTTAAGATATTCTTTGAGCTCCCCCTATTGACATACTCTTAGTATGACAACGAGGTACATTTAGAACAAACCTTGTGGGCTCAAATGCTGTTTTGTGGGCTCAAGAAACAGTTGACTGGTAGGAAACGTGGAGAAAGACGAACCAGACACTGGGGATTTGGTCAATCAGTAGAAATGATCAAAGGAACATGAGGAAAGGGAGACTAGTATGCGTGAGGTGGTGTTCATAAAGGCACAGGGCCAATGGTCATAGTTCCACATTTTAGGAAGACAGGAAGCAAGGATACCAAGATCTTATTTTCAAGCTTCAAAGGTTGCTATTGCTTATCTAGAAGCACCTGCAGCGATTGTGCATACCCTGCTGAGAATTCATTTACCAGTTCCCCCTGATGTACTGGGTGTTCGGTGCTAACACTATTAAGTGGGTAGCATACACATTCTAGTTAGGGGAGCTAAACTCGTCTCAGGTTTGCACAGGCAGTTAATGACAAGGATCAACATTAAACCCTGGCAGTCTGTACTGCTCAACCTTCTCGGATACATCCTTTTGGGATCTTACAATCTCTGGAAGAGGGGAGCATCTCCTCCTACCCCACTTCACACATTGCCTGCTAGTTCAGAAATGGGGATTATCTCAGCATAGACTCCTTGCAGAGTCTAGAAAGAAATTAGCATAACAATTCCTTAGGAAATGTTAATGCCTTTTACCTGCTGGGCCCCTGTTTGCATCCCTGCTATGCCTCTGAGGATTGTGAAAACAGCACTTGACTTGGGCTCTGCTTCTCATGGGAAAGCTAACTTTGCTCCTCTCTACAGAACATAGTTAGTGTTACCCTATGCTTCCCAGGGTTTTGACAGGAATATGTGGGGATGATGTGTGAGTTAGTTCTCGGTGGTATATGGGCCGAAGTTGGAGTGGCTCATGCAGATCAGGGATCTATCTGCCCACTCTGGGGAGGGTAGGTATTACATCGGTGGGAAACACATTCAATGACCTGAAACAACTGTGGACCTTTGTCCTTCTCTGTCCACGTGCCACATGCTTAACTGGAAACATGGCCTCTTTCACGGGAGGGCACATCCCCTATCTATCTGCAAGTCTGTCTCAAGTGCGCAAGTCCTCCCCAGACTGCATTTCAAGTTTGACCCCTTTTGGAAACTTCTTGTCTTGAGTTTCGTGGTACCACCTAAGGTCCCCTGCACTGACCCTACCATTCACACACACACACACACACACACACACACACACACACACCAAACACAAGCACACACACAACTTTGGATCCTTAAGTTGTGTTTTGTGGTTATGAGATTCATACTGGGTAGCTGTTAAATGACAAAGAAGATGGCAAGGTGTTGGGGATGACACATCCCTTAATGTCTCTACCCTGTAACTGACTTAGGCAAGGAGAGGAAGTTGCCTGAGACTCATTCTGTTCTCAAAAACCCAGGGGACCAAATGGGCCTTTGGCCTCCCCACCTTGCTCTGGGTTCTTCACCCTTGCTTATTCTGGGATGGCTTTACTTAATCTTCTTTTCAGATGGGAGCACAGATAGATGGGAGATTTTTAAAATGTGTTTTGCGGTTTGACAAAACAAAGAAGCTCTATTAATGGGATGGCTCAGTAAGTATAAAAACTTGTCACCAAGCATGCTGACCCATGTTCAGAAGAGAAACGGCCCCCACAAGTTGTGCTCTGACCACCCTACTCAAGTCATGGCATGTGCCCCTCACGCCGCCACACACACTCACACAGAGAAATCTTTTTTTTTAAATTTTTTTAAAACTCATTAGAATAGATAGTCTCTAAATAAGCTTCTTTGACTAAAATTTTACAGTCCTCAGGAGCACAGAAGGGGAGGAGCTTCACATTGTTTTAAATGAATTTTAGAACTTTGGTTTGGAATGTCTCAGCATACCTTGAGGCTGGCAATCACTGCCTCTCTCTCTCACCCTTGTCCCTTCCCAAGAAGAGTCACAATAGCACTAAGTAAATAAATAAGATGATTCTGTCATCTCTCAAGTGACCAGACCTTGAAGCTATCGCTCTATCCTGTAAAATAAGTAAGTTTTAGCCACAGACTGAGGTGTTGTGGTTGTAGGTGGTGGAAAGTCGTGATGTACAAAGAACCTATTAGTAAAGCCCAGGTGGCAAGTTTCACTTCACCAAGCAGCCAGACAGATGTTCTTTCATGGTTCAGTGTTCTCAAACACAGGCGCACTCACTACTCAGGACCCAACTAGCCCGTGGCATTTCACAGCAAGTGGTTTTCCTTAGAACTGAATGGAGGAGTGGTAACATTTTCTTTAGGAGAGACAGTGTTATCAGCGGCTTCCTATAAACCCAGCCCTTTCTGCCCGCAGTGTCCATTCAGTATCCTCGTACATACATGTGGAGAAGACTTTGTCACTTCATGTGAGTCTGTGACGGTGGGATTGTACCATTAACTCTCTCTCCTCATTATTTGCCAGCATCCAAGCCAGTTCTTAGTTTTGTTTTTAAGATGCTAGGTAAATATTTGCTGGAAGGGTTGTTTCCTAAGTGCCACAGTTGTGCCTGTGCTGTTATGTAGGCTATAGCTTGTTAAACAAGCAAAGGACGGGATGTGGTGCACACTCGTTATCTCCATACTCAGAGGCAGAGGAGGGGGGAAGCAGAAGACTTCAAGGTATGCGCCAGCTCACAGCAAGTTTGAAGCCTGCCTAGGTTACAGGACACCCATCTCAAGCAATCAGACAAGCCAACACAAAGGAACAAACAAGAGTTTCTCCTTCCTGGAAGATTCAAGCATTTGTTCATGTTGTTGAGGGTTCCAGGATGTGCTACTAGACAGTCAGCAGAAAAAAAAATAATAGGGACAGACTGAGGGAACGACTCCAGGACTATGAAGCTGAGTGTTGTCTGGCTTGGACTGCACTGACAAAATAATGACAACTTTGATTGATGGCCGTGGGAGTGCTGGAAATTAATGATGTATCTCTCTGTCAGACTTCTTTTATCCAGTCCTGTGTATTGGATATTGGCCTCATTGCTGTATTCTCTTGTAAATGTGCATCCTAATGGATCAGGGGATTTCAGGTAAACAACATAAATTGGTTAGAATCACCAAAAAGACTTCTTGTCATCTAGATTTAAAAAAAACAAAACC